GCCCCGGGCAGCCTGAGCCCCCGGTCTGGCCCCTGGGGGGCTGGGGAGCGCGCCCTGGGCAGCCGGAGCCCCCGGCCTGGCCCCTGGGGGGCTGGGGAGCTGTAGGCTGGCATATGCAGGGCAGGTACCCAGCATGGGGCCCGGGTTTTTTCCCAATCCCAGACGTTGCCATGGAGACCTGACCCGGCCGCACACGGGGCTGGACCCACCAGACCGGGCTTGGTTCTGTAGGGAGCCGGGGGGGGGGGGAAAGAGGGGGGTTAAACACACACAGGTGCCATTCCCAGTGTAACGCGCCCCGTGGCCCTTGGGCCCTGGCACGGCCTGGCTGGCCCCAGCAGGTGGGTTTCTGCCCCTCCCTCGGCTCAGCATGTGCGCTCGGGACTCTCCCTGCAGCTCGCTAGCCGCGGCTCCAGAGCCCTGGGGGCGGCTGGGGGGCAGACCCGAGTCCCCGCCTAGCCCAGCTGCACACGGACCTACTCTGAGCCCCTGGAGCCCCCCAGGATCAATAGGAAAATGGAAAGGTGAATACGGAACTGGATAAAGGGGAGACTACAATGGGTCGTACTGAAAGGTGAACGGTCAGGCTGGAGGGAGGTTACCAGTGGAGTTCCTCAGGGATCGGTTTTGGGACCAATCTTATTCAATCTTTTTATTGCTGACCTTGGCACAAAAAGTGGGAATGTGCTAATAAAGCTTGTGGGTGACACGAAGCTGGGAGGTATCGCTAATACAGAGAGGGACCGGGATATCCTACTGGAAGATCTGGATGACCTTGTAAACTGGAGTAATAGTAATAGGATGAAATTTAATAGTGAAAAGTGCAAGGTCATGCATTTAAGGATTAATAACAAGAATTTTGGTTATAAATTGGGAACACATCAGTTGGAAGTAACAGAGGAGGAGAAGGACCTCGGAGTATTGGTTGATCACAGGATGACTACGAGCCGCCAATGTGATATGGCCGTTAAAAAAGCTAATGCGGTCTTGGGATCCATCAGGTGAGGTATTTCTAGTAAAGATAAGGAGGTGTTAGTACCGTTATACAAGGCACTGGTGAGACCTCCTCTGGAATACTGTGTACAGTTCTGGTCTCTCTTGTTTAAGAAGGATGAATTCAAACTGGAACAGGTACAGAGAAGGGCTACTAGGATGATCCGAGGAATGGAAAACCTGTCTTATGAAAGGAGACTCAAAGAGCTCGGCTTGTTTAGCCTAACCAAAAGAAGGCTGAGGGGAGATAGGATTGCTCTTTATAAATATATCAGAGGGATAAATATCAGGGAGGGAGAGGAATTATTTAAGCTCAGTACCAATGTGGACACAAGAACAAATGGATATAAACTGGACATTAGGAAGTTTAGACTTGAAATTAGACGAAGGTTTCTAACCATCAGAGGAGTGAAGTTCTGGAACAACCTTCCAAGGGGAGCAGTGGGGGCAAAAGACATACCTGGCTTCAAGACTAAGCTTGATAAGTTTATGGAGGGGATGGTATGATGGGATAGCCTAATTATGGCAATTAATTGATCTTTGATTATTAGCAGGTAAATATGCCCAATGGCCTGTGATGGGATGTTAGATGGGGTGGGATCTGAGTTACTACAGAGAATTCTTTCCTGGATGCTGGCTGGTGAGTCTTGCCCACATGCTCAGGGTTTAGCTGATCGCCATATTTGGGGTCGGGAAGGAATTTTCCTCCAGGGCAGATTGGCAGGGGCCCTGGGGTTTTTTGCCTTCCTTTGCAGTGTGGGGCACGGGTCACTTGCTGGAGGATTCTCTGCACCTTGAAGTCTTTAAACAACGAGTTGAGGACTTCAATAACTCAGACATAGGTCAGGGGTTTGATGCAGGAGTGGGTGGGTGAGATTCTGTGGCCTGCTTTGTGCAGGAGGTCAGACTAGATGATCATAATGGTCCCTTCTGACCTTAAAGTCTATGAGTCCCGCGGGACCTCGAGCTGCTCCCAAGGCCAGCGCCCCCACCAGGCAGCCCCAGGTGTTGCCCACAGCTGGGCCGATCTCTGTGCCCCCTACCAGGCAGCCCGGTCTCTGTGCCCCCACCAGGCAGCCCTGGGCACTGCCCACGGCTGGGCCGGTCTCTGTGCCCCCACCAGGCAGCCCCGGGGTGCTGCCCACGGCTGGCCGGTCTCCGCACTCCCCGCACTGACCTGACTGATGTTCAGCAGTTCGTCCAAGGGAACGGCCCGGCCCAGCTGCAGGGTTCGCCACACGGGCTCGTTGTGCTGGCAGTTGCTGAGGGTGGACGTCAGAGCTGAGGACAGGGCTGGCAGCCGATGGGGGGCGCCCCCCGTAGACAGACATAGGGCAGGCTGGGGGGAGGGGGCGCTGCCCGTGTGGCCAGCGGGATCCCCTCCATCCTGTGGGCCCCGGGGCTGTTCACCCAGCGGGCTGAGCCACGCAGGCGTCCAAGGCCAGAGACCAGCCCCCACCCCACGGACATGGTGCGACCCCTCAGCGCTCTACAGAGCTCAGCCATGCAGGGCCCGCTCCAGGGCATCCTTCCTCAGTCCCCAAGAGATCAGAATCATCCCACCACCCCATGTGCAAAGAGGGAAACTGAGGCACGGGAAGGGCCTGGCCCTGCAGGAAGGGAGGGTCGGGAGGGGTCCCCGGGCAGGGCTGGCACTGACTTGTACACGCTGGAGAAGGTCACCGTCCCGCCCTGCAGCCCCAGCATCTCCGACAGGTTGAAGCTCGCAGTCAGGTCCGAGGTCTCCAGGAACTGGAAGCAAAGAAGTCAGGAGAGCGGCTGAGACCCTGAGACCTGCCCCAGCCAAGCTGCACAGCACCGGCCCATCCCAGGCCCCGGGGGGCAGGAGCTCCACCCCCCAGCCTGCCCTCCCCGAGGCGGGCGCAGCTCCCGCGTGGAAAGGGTTTGTGAGGTTCCTGATCCTCTCTAGAGGGGCCTCTGCAAACTCGACCCTCACTGCAGCCCTGTGCCCGGGAAGGACTCAGGGCTGGGAGGGCAGGGACCCCAGGGCTGGGCTAGCAGGGGCTGTGGGTCAGGAGCGAGGGGCACCGGCAGAGCGTGGGGGGAGCCCAGGGCTGGGCTAGCAGGGGCTGTGGGTCAGGACTGGGGGGCACCGGCAGAGCTGGGGGGGGCAGGGCTGGGCTAGCGGGGGTTGCAGGTTGGGGGTTGAGAGGCCCACTCTGCTGTGTTTCTGTCTCCCTCCTGGCCCTACTCACACCCCCAGGCCCCAGGGTTGGGGAGGGAGGTTCTGATCTTCCCTCGCCCTTTTCCATCCCCGGGCAAGGCAGGGCCACCACCGGCAGTGACACTGGCGGGGGCGCCAGGCCGGGCTCTCACCGGCAGGAGCTGCCCGCTGTGCCAGGGCCGGCAGACGAGCGTGTCGGCGTTGCCGCCCAGCAGGAAGGTCACCAGCACCAGCAGCATCAGCAGCCAGGAGAAGAGGAAGCTGAAGCCAACCCCCCTGTGAAGGCAGAACGAGCCGTGAGCTTCCGCCCTGGGCACCGGGCCCGACCCCGGGCACCCGCCTGAGAGCCCCTCCATCCCCCCGCACGCAGAGACCCCGGGCACCCGCCAGAGAGCCCCTCCGTCCCCCCCGCACGCAGAGACCCCGGGGCCCCCGTGAGAGCCCCTCCGCCCCCCCGCACGCAGAGACCCCGGGGCCCGTCGGAGAGCCCCTCCGTCCCCCCGCACGCAGAGACCCCGGGCACCCCCCTGAGAGCCCCTCCGTCCCCCTGCACGCAGAGAC